TATACCACCGCATGCGTATCAATATCACAACGTATCACAAATCGCACCTCAAGTTTCTAATATCACAACTTGCCAAGAAACCAACAACAATAGTATTTCCACAACAAGTATCCCGTGGCTACATCATAATATGCACAAGAGTGACAACAATGATGATGAAGATAACATGTGGAGCAATTAAAAAGTAAGAGATAAGACAAGTAGAACATGTAAAAATAGACTAATGATGATGAAGATAACATGTTAAGATAACTCAATTAAGGCATGAAAGGAATCTACATAGCTAAAACCGGTAAATTTCCACATTTAGCCCGTGTAAATACTCGTCACCTTGCGTACACGACTTTCACACATCACAATTATCACAAATAACACCAATCCTAAGGGGTAATTCTCCGACACAAAGTTAGGCAAGACACTTACCTCAAAACACGCTAACTCAATCCACTAGTAAGCCTTTTCCTCGATTATCCAACTCTGAACGACTCGATTCTAGCCAACACTACTTCATACCATAAATATAAACTATAGAAAACTATTTTGAATAATAAAATTATGATCTTTGCAAAGAGATAAAAAGTCAACTCAAAAAGTCAATTCAGGCCGGCGTCTCGGAACCCAACCAAAATTATAAAATCCGAACACTCATTCGATAACGAGTCCAAGCATACAAGAATTACTCAAATCGCTTTTCAAATCCCCAAATTTTAGCCTAAGAAGTTTCACAAATATTTTCCCAAATTTTCAACACAAAACACTAATTAAATGATAAAATTAACAATATATTAGTGTAATTTAACCAAAATAGAGTTAGGATTTCTTACCCCAAAGTTTTTCTTGAAAATCTCTCAAAAAATCGCCACAAACCGAGCTCTGTAGGTCCAAAAATAAATAATGAAATCAAACCCTCGAACTTAGGCCTTTTTCTACCGAGTGATTCCTCACTTGCGGTCACTCAGTCGTACCTGCGACGCCGCACCTACGGAAAAACTAACGCATATGTGGTTCCAACTTAAGCCCAAAAGGCTCGCACCTGCAGACCAAACGCTCTTCTGGCGCTTCCGCTTTTTCAAACAAAAAGGCGCTTCTGCTACCCCAGGCCTTCCTGGCCATGTCCGCATCTGCGACCACATTCCTCGCACCTGCGAGCTCGCAGATACGGAAGGGACCTCGCATATGCGATTCCAGCCTAGCCCAAAGCCCTTCGCTTCTGCGATCAGCTCCTCGCTTTTGCGTGTCTGCACCTGCTGCCAAACCCTCCGCAGATGCGATGGCACCAGAACATCAGTGGTTCAGCAATTGCACAAGTCCAAAATTATTTTGGATTCAATCCGTTTCACACCTGGGGCCCCGGGGACCCTGTTCGAATATACCAAAAAGTTTCAAAACACCTAACGGACCTATTCGAGGCCAAAAATCGCATCAAACAACATTGATTCTACGAATCGCAACCCAATTCAAGCCTATGAAATTATGATCTTCCGAATTCCAAAACTAATGCCGATTCATACCAAAATAACTCCGATTGACTCCAAACTTTGCACACAAGTCATAAATGACGTGACGGAAGTTACCAAAATCAAACACCCTCGACAAGTCACATAACCACAATATAACATAGAGGAGGCAACAAATAGAGGATCGGGGATAAAATACTCAAAGTCGGGTCGTTACAATCAAGAACTTCTAAAAATATAACTGCGTGTCCGATTCCTATCAAATCAACTCATAATGAAGCCAAACTTTGCAGACAAGTTCCAAATAGCAAAAAGGACCTATTCCAAGTCCCGAAACAGAAATCCAAATATGATAGCTATGAAATCAACCCATGGTCAAACTTCTAAACCTCAAATTGCCAATTTTCGGCAAAACAACATAAATCAACCTCCGGACCTCCGAATTCGATTCCGGATATATGCCCAAGTCCAAAATCACGATACGAACCTATCAGAGCCATCAAAATACCATTTCGGTATTGTTTTCACAAAAGTTAAAATTTGGTCAACATTTCCAACGTGGGCTTCTAAGCCAAGAACCAAAGGGTCCGAATGAACCCAAAACCTTCTCAGAACAAAACCAATCAACCCCATAAGTCATAAAACTAAAATTATATATGTGTGAAGTATCAAAAGGAAAAATGGGGCGCAAATACATAAAATGACCGATCGAGTCGTTATAAGTATTTATACAGTTAGGAGGTAAATTATGGAGCATATTTGGAGGAAATCAAGTGTTTATATAGCTGGGATGTACCATAGACTATGGCACGCTTAGGCTGGAATCTTGAAATGTGTGCTTGGTATTACTACAAGAAAAATTCAACATTCTTGGATTTCTCTTATTCGCCAAAGTTCTTCTAAATTTAATATTGATATATAGCCTTACTACAAATTTACCTAACTACTTGCATTATTTTCTTCTATCACTTGCAGTAAAGTAGTGATTTTATTGCTAAACCAACTGGAGGAAATACCGTATTTGTGATTTACATAATATGAAAACAACATTAACGAACTACGCATTATAATTCAGAAACTTCATAAACTTTTTCACTAAGTTTTTCCTATGACAGCAAGCTCAATCTCTTTCTCCCACTGCAGTGGAGTCATTTGTAATCTAGTACATATTATTTATGTTGTCTAAAATTATTGTACATATTTATCCTTTTATCTGAATGTTGTAAATACATATAGAGTTGCATCTGAAAATAATATTAACAAAACTAAATAGTCGTTGGGTCCGGGCATACCCCTCACTAGTGTGTGAATATATATATATATATATATATAATTTTGCAAACCTACTAGTATGTTAGCATTGTATACATATTTGGTTTCTCCAAAATGCTCATATTATTTAATGTTACCCCATTAAATTTAAGGACTCTTTTATATTTTTATAAAATTCCACATTTCTCCCAAAAGTAAATCTAATTCGCCAGCCGCTGGGCGCTGGCACTGATTATCGATGGGGCGACAGAGGCGCATGCTCGCTTGTCACTTGGCGCTGCCAAGACCACGGGGCCGACCATAGTGCTAGGCATTGGGAGGCTTGCCGGGACGCCACGGGGCGCGTCCAAGGTGTCATGGGTCGATGATGGAAAGCAGCCCATGACATTACTTTTTCAAAAAAATTTCTCGTCATAACCCCTTCACCTCTCTCCTTTTCTCATTTTATCCAGAGTCGATGAACAAATCACAGAGATGGAGTCCAAGAACAATCAAAATCTGAGCTTCATCTTCTACTTTCTATTTGTATATTTTTTAAATCGATGAAGATTAGTTTGGATTTTTTAATTTGTAGTAGAGTTTGAATCTCAGTGACGAATCAAAAATAGATCTCTATAACTATATAAATACATATAAGAAAAAAATATTATTCATAGAAAACTCTTCTTATTAAGCACCTCCACCTCCAAGAAAATGAGTTCAAAACATGTGATCTAAGAGTTCAGCATGTGCTGATATTATTGCGCTTAAGCAAAGTAATGGTTTTTATATATTTATAGCTTATTATTGATCCACTTAAACCTGTTGGATATAAGCAAATAAAAATAAATTTACAAAAGATTACACCATCGTTATGATTAGCGAATGAAGAGACATTAGAATACTAAACTCTTACCTTCACTGCAACATTTGTCAAGGTGCAATGAGAAAAACTAGTAAAGAAGAAAACTCCTTTTGGAAATTTTAGAAGAACAATGGCCCTGGAGATGAAAAATAGAGGAGGGAAATATTTCCCGCCTGAATAGTTGTAGAGTGAGAAATGTAGAGATGAAGTGTGAAACATTGTAAAAAGATAAAATAGTCCCTAAATTTAATGGGGTGGCATTAAATAATGAGGGCATTTTCGAAAAATCAAATATATATGCAATGCTAACCTACAACAACCATGTAGTAGATTAGCAAATGTATACGTATATATATATATATATATATAAAATAAACAAACAACAAATCTAGTGAAATCCCACAAGTAGGGTATGGGGAAGGTAAGCAGACCTTATCCCTACCTTATAACGGTAGAGAGGCTCTTTTCGAAAGACACTTGGCTTAAGTAAAGTAAAAATGAAGCAATAAACAGACAGTAGCAACAACAAGATAATAAGACACGGAAGCAAATGGTGTAACGTGTAATAACAAAGATCTAAGAATACGACACTTAAAAATAGAGCCAATAATACTGGAAATAATGATGCACCGTATAATAGCAAGGGACTAGGAATAGGAAAATACAAGACTGATACTAATACTACTGGAAAGACTAGACGAAACTCTAGACTGCCTGTCAATCCACAAAGCTAATCATCAATCTCCACACCCTCATATCAAGGGTCATATCCTCGGTAAGCTGAAGTAGAGTCATGTCCCGCCTAATCACCTCACTCTAGTACTTCTTAGGCCTCCCTCTATCCCTCATCTGACCCGCCATGGTCAACCTCTCACACCTCCTAACCGGAGTATCAGGATCTCTCCTCTTCATATGTCTGAATTATCTCATCCTCGATTCCCGCAACTTATCTACTACAGGAGCCACGCCCACCTTGTCCCTAATATACACATTCCTAATCTTATATTTCTTGGTATGCCCATACATCCATCTCAACATTCTCATTCCGATACTTTCAACTTCTGGATATGAGATTTTTTGACTGGACAACACTCGGCTCAATACAACATGGCCGGTCTAACTACCGCTTTATTGAACTTGCCCTTAAGTCTAGATGGCACATTCTTGTCACACAAAACACCAGAAGCGAGCCTTCATTTTATCCCTGGGAGAGATAGTTTCACATATCTTAGGTCTGTATACAGGGTAACAGGGAGATCGACGAGAATATATATATATATATATATATATATATATATATATATATAAAAACTAGCCACTGTAATTATTTTTTGCCAACATACCAAATATGTGAAAAGCCCAAAAGATAAAAGATTACTAAAGGAAACTCGATCATATTCTGCTAAACATAGATACGCTAATACTCATAAGTCAAATATAAGTAGAATATCAAGAAAACACTATTTAGTACATTTGAAATTTGCTGATTTAGGGAAATAGAGTTATGTTGCCAAGTAATGGTATTAGTTCCACAATACACATCAAAATTACACTATAGTGAAAAATTAATTAGCTTCTTGTGTGATATGAAACTCTCCGCTAGCATGAACTTGCTTAACTTGTTTTTCATACTCATCTTCTTCTTCTTCTTCCTCTGCTTCTTCTTCTTCTTCTTTGGTCGTCTCTCCATCTTCTTCTTCTTCTGTTCCCCAGCCAAAGCCTGGAACAGATCTTGATGATGGTGGTGGATTTCTAGCCTCTGATACAATTTTCATGATTTCTTCAATGGTTTGAAGGGAGAATGTTGGATTGTCTCTTTTGTAGTATACTGCTTGGGCTGGTTCTGTGAGTTCTTTTGGCAAGCTCTTCAAAAACCATGGATGGTTCTTGATCTCCTTTAGTGTGATTCTCTGTAAACATGTTGCGTTTTGTTAATTACTTTTTTTTTGTTGCTATATATAGTTTATGATCTTGAAATTAATTCTTGAGTTTGAAAATAATATTTGGGGCATTAAATATTTAAATTTCCTATCATCTCTAGTAAGTTAGCCAAGAAAGTGTTGTTCTGAAGAAGTAATTTTTTGGCGTTTAGTTATTAGCAAATATATTTCATGGGGAATATATTCTATCAAAATGGAAAAAATAAGTTATTTCACTTTTGGTCGGATGCCCTTATTTTGCAAAACTATCCTAACTTTTAACTTCATATTACTTGTTTTATTATTATTATTAGTAGTAGTAGTTGTTCTTGGTATTTAAAATTTTCATCAAAATACTCTTTGGTTTGCAGCTATTGTTAACTTTTAAGATATATTTTTGCCAGAATCTTTTTTCTCATCCACCAACCAAACACTTAATTTTTCTTTCAGGAAAATATTTTCGAACAAACACATTTTCAGGGAATATTTGGAAGAAGTAACCTAAACAGATATTCACCCAATCGTTTAAACTAAAAATATCTGACAGATATCTAATATGCATATAGTTCATAAATAATATATGTATAATATATATATATCAACTACCAACTATAAAAAGTAAATAGTGAACCCGACGGATAATATGTATAAAGATCTCAAATATTTTTCATAGAAAATGACTTTCATCATCATAACATAACACACTTCCCCAAGATTCCTTTTATTTTATTTTATAGTTTATATGTTTAAGGACTTTGTTACTTGCCTTTTCTTGTCTGAAATTTCATGATGGATATTGTAGAATTATAAGATTATTTTGCATAATTTAGATGAATCATTACCCTGATAGGACTGGCAACAAATATTCGAGAAAGAAGGTGCTTGCAATCCTGAGATATGTGAACATAGTCTGGGATTTTGTATTGACCAGCCATTATTTTCTGCAGAATATTTAGAAGAAAAAAAAATAAATTAGAAGAAAAGACACCATTTACTCGTGTGAAATGGTAATAAATAGACTAATTAATAAGTGCTTTAATATAAAGAAAAGAAAAACAAAACTCACTGAAATAGTTTTTCTGAAATTTTTAGGATCATCTGGATCTTCAAAAGGATATGCTCCCACCAACATGACATATAGAGTCACTCCACATGACCATACATCTGCCGACTAATAAACCGCCCCATACAAAAAGAAAACACAATTTAAAAAGGGAAAAAACATTTAAAAAAAAAAAACCAAACACAAATAACTAAAATATAGGAGAACTGGTATAATATAATTTTAACAAACTAGTTAAAAGGGGAGTAGGTATAAAATACCAATAAAATAAGATAAGATGTTGAATTAACAAGTTGCAAAGTAGGATGCAGGGGGAAATGCAACAAATTGTAACTTCAAGGATAAGGTCCAATAATGCTATTGTGTATGATTACTTTATAAGTCACCATCACATAAAATAATTAAAGTAGAGTCCAATAACACAAAAAGTTTATAACTTTGAATTAAAAGAAGTTAAAAATATATAGATTTCCAAACCATAACGAACATCAAGTCACATGGTCACATGCAAACTTTATGCTTAAAGGGGTCTTGTTATGTAGAAATAAGGCATTAACACGTGCATTGCTTCAACATACATTTACTTATAGGAAAAAAATAAGAAGATACATATGATTCTAGGGCTTGTGGATTTTACCAATTGACGTTGTTTATATATCTTTATATTTCAATTATCATATAGTATAATTTTACAAGTTGTTTGAGGGAGAAAAGAACACTTTGGAAATGAAGTCCTTTCTTATAGGAGTTGTAAAGCTTGAACGGTGGGCTTTCTAGAAATCAAACTCTGAATTAGCTGAGTTAGTAATTTCTACCATCAGATGTTTGAACTTTGAAATAAAAAAGAAAAGTTATGTGTTACCTTGCCATCATATTCTCGACGAGAGAGAACCTCTGGTGCAATATAAGCCGGAGTTCCAACAGTCGATTTTGGTCGTGAATGCAATACAGATGACTGTCATAAATAAATAATAATCCATTAATATGCTTGTAATAGTCTAGTTATTAGAAGCTGATGAGTACATACTATTATATTTTTTCAATTGTTAAGACCGCAAACATCAATTCTTCATAATCACAATTATTTAAGAGTATTTTAAGGAATGGAATAGAAACTGTATAAATATACCTTGGAGTAACCAAAGTCACAAATTTTAAGACGAGGTGCTGGGTTTCCATCTAACAGTGTATTTTCCAACTTCAAATCTCTGTGGCATATTTGCTGTAAAATCCCCAATACTCAAATAAAACCCGTTAAAATATACAAAATAAAATTCATATCCATAATCATTTCTCCCAATTAAGATTTCGGAGTGTTACATTTTATTTTTTTTAATGAATTCTACGTATAAATATTTCCAAAGAAACGTTCTAGAAAAAAAAATAATAAAGCTCATATTGTTGCAAAATTGTATTTTTACCATAAAAAATAAGTATAACTAAATTACATGTCTAGACTGTTAAGGTGGAATATAATTTGATCATTATGAGCAAATCCAAGATCTTTATAGATAAAGTCAATTGTTAATTTTTAACTGTGGAGTGAATGGAATCCGATATATAATTAATCACTTAAACAATTTTAAAAAAAAATTAATGTGTCACTTCTTGAGCCTAGGAGTTAAAGAATAACAAGTTTATCATTATCAAAAATTAAATACCCACTTAAAATAATAAAACTGACGATATTTGTCTAGAAATTCTTATTTTGTTTCTTGATCTAAATCTTTCTTGAAGGAAAAATCATATTACCATGCTGTGACAGTAGTGGACTCCACAAATCAACTGTTGGAAAAAGTACCGAGCCTGAAATACAAATGTAAGAAATTTTTTGTAATTGATCGAAAAATCAGTACTTCAAAATCTATAAAATCTTGAAGAAAATAATTGAAGAAACAAAACAAAAAAGTACATATCAGCACGTTATGCCGATACAAAAATTAAGGAGACATGAAAACTTTTGGCAGTCAATGTATATCTAAGGGTTTTTACATATTCTTGTTTAAGAATATTACAAATTTTATGTTTTAAAGTGCATATTCTTCCCTCCCCATATTTCCCAATTTAAAACTTCAAGAGAATATTGTACATAAAAAAAGAAGAAGTAGATATACAAGAAATTAAAAAAGAAAAAAATATAAATTTATTTATCCACGCAAATAAAACGGATTAATTTGTGATTAATGATGATTAACCTCAGCTTCACTAAATCGACCAGCTTGGCAGATCCGATCAAAGAGCTCTCCACCAGCTGCATACTCCATTACTATTGCCAAGTGGGTTGGCGTTAAAACCACCTAAACACAACAAACAGATTAATTATACGATTATGAGTTTAATTTATATACAAAGAAAAATAATTACAATGTTAGATCAGCCAAAAAATATCTACAAGTTGTAATCCTCCATATAAAGTGAAATTAAACTGGTCATCTTGAAAATAAGGTGACCTGATAACTCTATTATTATATGTAAATCACAAGGTAAAAGCCGCAGTAATATTCTTGTTAGACATTCAACATTGATTCTGTAAGTAATTCAATATTTACAATAAATTAAATGAGTTCAACATGTCAGTAATTGAAAACTTACCTCTTTAAAACGAATTATATTTGGATGGCGGAGTGACCTATGATTTATGATTTCTCTTGCTACATTCTCATCAATCTACAATCTCACAAGAAAATTAAGGAAACTCTTAGATAGAACATATACGAATGAAAGTTTAATGAAGAAACAAGACGAGCTAGAAAGATCATAAAAATTACAAATATAAAAAACAGTAATTAAGAATATCAGTTGAAATTACCTTACGACCACGTTCAATGTATTTCATGGCAACAAGCTGTTTGGTTTCTTTGTTGCGCATGAGTCTGGCCACCCCAAAATTCCCAGATCCCAACTCTTTTACTACCTCGTAATTCTGCATCTTTCAACTTTGCTAAAAGCCTAGCTAATTCTTGTACAGTACTTGCTTAATAACGTACTATGATCGATCTGTATACGTATTTCTGTATACGTACAATTATGATATATTCAGACTGCACAAGATGCAGAAAAATGAATAGGGAAGCTAATTAAGTGATCGATCACTCTCGGTGTATTTATAGTTAAAGACTAGCTCGTCCAGTGGGATTTCAGATGAATTATATACTAGTATATATTACTTAGATGGATATATTATATACAGAGTGTGAAAATGTAATGGAGGACAGAAGCGATAACTTAACTTCCCAACTGGCAAATGAAAGGTAACAGCTGAAACGACCTTTAATTAACAATACAGTCAAAAAATATACTATAGAGAGAGAGTGCTTTGTTGTGTGTGTGAAAAGACGAGACCACGTGGGGGAAAGAGTAGACGAGAGAGATGGCCTTTGGTATGGGATTCCATTACGCACATATGCTCTCCCCTTGCATTTGCAAGTTTTAAATCCCAATTCCCAACCACCACTAGTCTTACATCACTTCCATGTAATCATTTCGAAAAAATATACCTCCGGTTCACGTTAAGCGATATTTTTTTTTTGTTTTTACACAAATTAAACAATTCATCTTTTAATATTAATTAGCAATAAAATTGATTATATTAACATTTATTATCTCTTCGCATAAACACTCTTAATACATACTCTATTACTATTTACTTTAAGGGTAGTGTAAGAAAAAAATAATTAATTCATTCTTAAAATCTAAAAAAAATTACTTATTTTGGACCACAAAAAAAGGTCAAAAAATTATTTATTATAGACAGGAAGGAATATTCAAATGATTTGTCGTGTTTTTCTTTTATATACCCTTTAAGAAAATATTAGTTTAAAAGGGGTTTTGACTATTTTACCCTTATTTATGCCTTGAGATATAATCTCTCTTCATTAATTATTTACTCTATTATGTGCTTCTCCATCTTCAAAAATAAAGTAATTGCTATTAAGCTTCTAAAATAATAAATAATTTGAGACAATTATTTTTAAAAATCAAGACAGATAATTTGCAATCACACAACCCCCACCCACTCCTCTTGAGTCTATACAAATTTAGTATTACTACTTTGTGTCTGTCCTTTTATATTGCTGTAGAATATTGGAACTGCCCTTTTATATTACTTTAAAAATGCAATTTAAACCAATTACAAAATTTTCTGTGAACCATTTTGATAACATCAACATGTACTAATTGTGCATATCATTGGCTTTGATCTCCATAAACGCCGCTCTCGAAGGAAGATTAGCTAGCGCTGATGTGGGGTTGTCACTTGGCTGTTTGACTTTTTGAGTACTATTCCTTTTCTGCTAAGGTACCCATGACCTTTTTAAATTTCCTATTGGTCGGTCCATTAGTCTTAAATTCCTGTACCATATTTGTTTACTCGAAAAATGGATAGAGTTGAATTTATACGTAATTTCGAGGATATGTGGCGTAACTTAATACAAATTGTAAGGATAAATAGAAAAGTAAATATGGATTGCAGAGAATGCGAAATAGATAAAGTTGTAAGGAAGAATGAATCTTAGGACTCAACAAATAGAATCAATTTAAGAAATCTGAAAGAACGATTCTTTACTGTAGAAGAATATAGCATTTTTATTACAATGTAAGCCTGAGAAAAAATCTGTCCTACAGAAATGGTAACCAAGCCCTTTTATAGTGGAGATATTTGGCTCTAAGCATAATAAAATAAACATTCAGTGGGAGACCCATGATAAGTAAGCTTTTCCACAATTTCTGCAAAGATTCTCTCTAGTGGGATTGCAACGGTTTTTGTCTGCGAGCTCGATCTTACTTAGAGCCCTCGATTTCTGTTTGAGCTTGATTTCGACTCGAGCTCTTGATCTTGGTTCGAGCCCGATCTTGGCTCGAGCCCTCGAATTGATTCGAGGTCAATGTTGGTTGGTCTCTGGATTATAAGCATGATAGATCTACTCTGCATCATATTTCGATTTGGATTCGAGCTTAATAATGATATCGAACTCGACACGGATCGGCCCCCCGGGTTCGAGGTTAGTTTGTTCCACCTTCGGGATCTTACTTCGATAGATCATCGTTCGAACTCGATCGGACGTGCGAAGGCTGAAATCTATTTCGACCGTATACAGATAGTCCCCTCATTTCTCAGAAAGAATGTGGTGTGAAACGATATGATTTTTAACGGCTCGATCAGATTATAACCTGACATTTCCATCGGGTTCGACCATGACGCATCTGGTAGCTGTCCCGTCGGTTTAGTCTTTCAAGGCATTTAATGCAGGTCAGGCGGTGGTCGGCCACCGCTGATACTGAAACGCCATCGCTTGAACCTATAAATAACCCTTTCTTTTATCCTTTACCACTTTTACATCTTCTATCTTTCAAATTTCCCAAGTCCTTCTTCGTACTCTCTAACTTACCAGTAAATCTGTGATTTCTTTCTGCAAAATCCCCTCTTCAATTCTACCAAATCTTTGTCATTTTTCTCTATTCCTTACTTCTGAACTCGAAAATGGCGAAAACGTCACAAACCATCCCTCAGAAAGAGAAAGCTTCATCTTCACAGTGTGTCGCCGATGATACGCTAGCAGAACCATGGCCTGAGGAGTGCGTTCCCGGGGCGTGCGTCCTTACTTCTGATTTAAAGGTCGATAAAGGCTCATCGGTCCCTGGTCGATGTGAACTGGTATCGAGGTATATATGTTCGATAATCGAGAAGCACCTCCAACAGCTAAAGAAAGATTGCAATTGGGATAAAAAAGAAATAATGATTCCTTTTTCTGACGAAGATATCACTTCGCACGTGAGAGGGTTTTTGAATGTGTATTCTTATCCTTTCACGTTGGGTCCCCTCGATTCCGTTATCATTGATTTCTGTCGTCAATACCAAATAACCCTAGGCTAGGTCCATCATTCTTTTTGGCGGATCGTTATCTTGATCCGATATTTCGTGAGCAAAATCGAGGGGATTTCGTTCACCCTCGACTATCTTATCCGATTATACCGTCCTCGACTTTTTCGAGGAGGGTTAATAAAACTTCAGCGTCGGGCTACCAAGGCTCTATTCTCGAGTATTGACGAGGACAAGGACCGGGGTTGGATGAGCAGGTTCATTCGAGTAAGGACTTCGGACCTGATTCCGACTGAAAAGATGCCCTTTCCAGAGGAGTGGAATATGAAATGTAAGTGTGATCCTGCTGTTACTTCTACTTTGTTCTTTTATTTCTTCTCTCATCAACACTCCTCCTTTTGTGATGTAGCAGTTACTTGGATGCCCGAAGCAGTTCCCGATCTCAAGAACTGGGTACGAGCTCTTGTTTCGACCTTCACATACGCTGAGCGCTCATGGCGTGATTTGTCAAAGTGTTGGTGGGAGGCCAAAAATCATGGTAAGACCATTTATCGTACTCTTTGATGATTCGAACAAGGTGGTTTTCAAAATATTTTATTAAGGTTTTCCATATGCAAGTTTGGGTAAAGACGCGGTTTTGAGGTCCTTGTCCAACGAGGAGGAAATTTAGGTCTCTGTCCCAAAGCCGATGAAGGAAAATAAAAGGAAAAGAGCCTTCGTTCCCGAAGATCCAAAACCGAAGAAGAGGATGGCTCGTAAGCCGAACAAAAATGTCATTCCTTTGACCATGGAATCCGTTCTACGTCTAAGGGATGAAGATGAAGAAGAAGAAAACGATGAGTCCGCGCTAGCGATCTGAATGAAGAGAACCACCGATGCCTCATCGGCGGCTGGATTGATGCTCCATGAGGCTCCGCCTCGAACTGAGGATATATTGGAGAAAGATTCGGGTAGAGTTCCCGAACTATCGGATATCAAAGACGCATCTCATCGGAGTCAACGGGCAGGGGATATGACCGAAGAGGCCCTCGAACCCCTTCGAACCGAGGAGAATGCTCTGTGCGATTCATTTGGGCAGCAACAATCGAGGATTCGCCTACCTTTCCTGCTTTTTCCGCAGGGGTGATTCGGGAAGCCCAAGCTCTGGGAGCCCTTGATCTAGACATGCCTCACGATGAAGAAGATCCCTTTCGTGACATGTTTACTGGCATTGAGGACGTTGCCGGTGCTAGTGATGAATTGGATCTTTTTCACGGCTTTGAATCAGATGAGCTTTTGAAATTATTTTATCGGTACTACCTTTAAGTTCACTTTTTGTTAACTTCGCTTCTTGTTTCTTTGTAGGCAGCGTCAGTTCATCGAGAACAATGTTCTCGATCCCAAAATGAGCTGCATCGATACGAGGCCGACCTACAACGGGCTACTGATGAGAGGAACTCCCTTAGACTTTCCTTAGGGCAGAGAGAAGAGGAAATAAAAGACCTCCGAGCTGAGCTGGCAAAGGCTTATCGAGATCAGACCGATTTGTCTGAGAAGGTAATGTTACTTTTGAAAGACTATGGGCTTGATACCGAAACGATAGCTAACATTTTGGTCTCACAGCTGCAGCAAAAAATCGAGATGATCGGGAAGCTTCGTGAGGAGGTCGACATGATAAAAACGGAGTCTTTGCGGTGGAAAAAAGGTATGGACCGCTTTGCTGCAGAGAAAGAAACTGCTCCAGTCTAGTTATCATCGTCCAAAACCCAACTTCAGAAAATGAAGGAAAAAGGCATGGTTCAAGCAAGAAGAATAGAGGAGCTTGAGGCTCGGTTGGCCTCTGTACTTGCCAAGGCTGAATCTGATGCCGAAAAGGCAAAGGCCGATGTGAATGCACTCGTGGCCATCTATCGGGCTGATGCTGAAGCTGTCCAAGTCCAAGCGAGAGAGGTAGTCGAGTCAGCCGATACTCGAGCACATTGGGTCGCCGAATTTGCTAAGTGCCGATCCCGAAGGGAAACCCTTTAGGAGATCCATGCTCGTGGTTTTGATCTCGCTGAAGAGATAAAAAGGACCAAAGAACTCGAAGCCGATGCTGAAGCTCTGGTTTATGATGGCAATGATGATGACGATGATAATGGGAGCAAGAGCGAATTTGAGGACGGGGGGGAGCCTGATAAAGAAGAGACCGTTCCTGACCGAGAAGTTTAGTTCTTAGTTTTTACGTTGTAATCAACCATGCAGATAAATTTGTATATAGATATATCCCCTTTTTTGCCTACTTGCTTCTGTTTTGTTTCCTGTCTTGTGAGGACTTTATTCACGCCTTATGAATGTTTTCACAAGGATTTAAACAACTTAATCAAATTTGGACTTTGTAGCCTCTGTAACCGAGCGAGCGCTTATTCAAACTTGGAGCGATGTAGCCCTTAGGCTTATTAGTTGAGACAATGATTCGAGCTCGAAGAAATATAGCCCGTATGCGTAATGGTCGAGTGAGTGTTTGCTCGAACTCGAAATAAAAGTAGCCCGTAGGCTTAGTCGAGTGAATGATTCGAGCTCGAAGAAATATAGCCCGTGTTTACTTCGAGTGAATGATT